GCTATTTAGAGGAAGCTTCATCTATCCCCGGTGCCTCGTGGCCTCGTGACCCGCAATCTAATCTAGAGAGCCCACCACGTCTCACATTTACCCTGATCATCAGGATGATTCAGTCTATAGGCTGCTATGGGACAAGAGACCTAGATTGACTGGAGCTTGCGATCCTCAACGGAGGTTTTGCACTGCTGGAGGACTGGAGGCTTCTGATTCGAATTTGGTGCTGAGGCGGTATCAGCATCCAGGCCTCGACACAGGCTTGCCGTGGCCCAGGCCAGAAATCAGAGTTCAGCACCTCGTTAACACTACCCGTAATCGTCCAGTACTGTCGGCACAGTGACCATTGTCGTATTGCAGCCTTTGTTGGGGGCAGTGCTCAAGGTCTGGGATATGAGCCCTGTTTAGCATGTAGGGGGGGAACTCCCCACCCTCAGTGGGATAAAAGGGCAGACAAGAGCGCAATACATGATAGGACAAGTACAAAAATAGAGCCCTATTGCAGATGGGATGGCAGGAAAAGGGCAGATAAGACAACCCCTAAACTCAGGAGGGTGGGACGCCCTGGTGGCCCCAAGAAAAGAAAAGTTTTAAGTCTATACAGAATCATAGATTTTACCACGCACGCAAAACTGGTGCCACCATTGGACCATAGTGTCCGCTTCTGAAACCTTAAGCCCTAAACCCTAAACTGATAACAGGCCATCCCCAAAAAAAACGGCTTCCTTGCTTTCGGGTGAATAAAATGGAAAAGAAAGTGGAAGTTACTGTTTAGGGCCTTTGGTTCGGGGATATTATGCCCAATTATGGAGAATCAAATGGACGAGAAAATGGAAGATGAAGTGAAAAGTTAGCTCCCTTTAATGCGGTTTAGGGATATTGTCACCAAGAATGGAGAGTCAAATGGAGAAGAGAAAAAGGAGAATGGAACAGAAACAGGGTGCGTGCGGAGTATTAAACTAAAAGGGTTTGCAATGTTACTCCTAATGTTCGGGGGTCCCTATAAAAAGGACTAGAGTATTCGCGGGTCTATACTTGGGGACCCCCTATTCATGGAAACTCCTCTTTACGGTTTCGTCACTGGCTTTGTTGGCAAGAGTAAGCAGCCCACTGCAGCAGACAACCCGGTGTCATTACACATCGCAGAAGCACCCCAAACACTGAACTCCAAACCCTACATGAGCCATTGTCTAAACTCCTTAAAGGGATATATAGGGGATTATATGGGGGACTACTATAGGGGTTATCAGGGGGGATACTAGACAATGGCTCACATAAGCGTCGCGTTTATCCTCTAGAATCTGTGTAGGGTTTTGGGTTTGAAGGACTTGGGCCTGAGGCCCCAACTCTATCTTTGGCCTGCGGCGAAGCGCCCACAACCTCCACGACCCCCGAATTTTGAGAACGGCCTTTCTAGGACTTCAGAACCCTATGGGAATTCAGAATTTTCAGGTGTTTGCTTGTACCGCGGGATTTTGGAGGTTGTGGGCAAGTTTCAGGAGTTGAAATCGCACCTGCGCACAGGCTAGGTGCATGTCTTCTACACTCCTCAAAAAGGGGAGAACAGAGCTGGAAGCTGAGCAGAGGGCTCAGGTGATTGCGAAGCTGACGGTCTAAGGGTTGGACATGAGCCATAGTCTAAACTCCTTAAAGGGGAGGCTATATAGGGGATTATATCGTGGACTACTATAGGGGTTATTAAGGGGGATACTAGGAGTTTAGACTATGGCTCACATGGTTTGAAGTTTAGGGTGAAGTATGGATCATAGTGCTGCGCCCTGAGAGGCACCCACCCCGGCACATGAAGGCGCCCAAAAAGGATATGTGGGGGTTTCCCAAAATTAGGTCTACCATTTTGGGGGTTAATAAGGACTATAGTATTTTGGGGTCTATATCGGTATCCCCTTATTTTGGGAAACTGCCATGTAGTCAGGCTAGGAATTTCTTTGGAGGTATTCCCACACTGCCTGGAGTAGGATGCGACGAAATTCTGGTTTCCTGGACCAGACGGAATGACATGGGCTTCCTCACCGTGACCCTGTCACTAGGTACCCCAGTAGTACCCTTTTACCCCTTATGTGGGGGTCTCCTTATTAAAACAGAACAGTAGGAAAAAGGGTACCCTTATTGTTTATGGTTTACTGGGGAACCTAGGTCATACTCCCAGGCAGTGGCCATTGTCCCTGGCAAATACCAATCTTCATAACTATGTTTTTTTGCTTTGTAGTAGGTGTGCAGTAGGTGTTTATGGGGAAAAGCTCACAAGTTTGAAGACTGGTCAAAGGATAGCGACCTCACCCTACCGCTCATTCTAGTGGGACCCAGCCGTAATCCCTCAACCCTCTATGCCTGAGCTAAGTATTCGGGCTACCAAGGGACCAATAAGGGTGGACATAGGAATCCTTTTGGAAGTTAGGTATAATCCCTCAACAATGGCTCATGTCCACTAAGAAGGCGGGGAAACATTGACTCTAGCTCATATAGCACCCGTTTGAGGCTTTGGGATTCTCGTATGGGAGTTTCCCAAAGACTGTATTCAACGTAGCGATTATTTTCATTATCATTCCAGTCTAATACTAAGGAATTGTTTGAAACAACATTTCTGTTACAGGTCTAGAGAGATTACGGAATTTGGGAGCCCGTTCTCTGCAGGATTCCAGTATATTGGGGTCTCTATTGCGACCCACTATTTATGGTGGGCGGGTGGGAATGTGACTGCCCCCGCAGTCTGCACTAGTAATCCTCTTTTTCCCAGGGCTTAGGGCTTAGGGTTCTTGATATGGTTTAGTATAGGTCATACTATGGTGATTGTTATTACGTTTACTACCCCCGCATTCTCCCAACAGAATGATGAGTTTTCCCCCTAGCGTGAAAGGTTTCCCAAAGGGAATCACGCGGTTAGCGGTAGCAGTGGTTGTTCTAAGAGGGAAAGCGAATGGGTTAGGTATCGGCTGCTTTGGCATGGTAGCGCGTGCATATGCAGACTGCACATCTTGGCACACAATAAGTAGAAGCTCTACCGTAAGTCAGACCAGATGAGGCTTTGTTGATGTTGACATCCCTTCTCTTTCGGCCCACATGAAACTCAGAGCACAGAATGCCGGTTCGACCGAGCCCCTGCTTTATGCCTTCCACACGAGACGGCGTGCCATTTTTTAAGATGGAGTTATGTTGCGCGGCGAATACAACAGAATGAGAAAATTCGGGCGCGTGGACCCAAAGACAACTAAGAACCAAGTCCCAACCAGGGTTTTGGTGGCTTGGGGAGAAGGTCATTCAGAGTCCAGGGAATAGAGTTCAACCCTGGACACGAAACATCACTATCTAAACCCAGAGCCCCTCCCTAAACCCCTAATTGTTCCATGCGCAGGCTGAAGTTGAGTGCAGGATGTGGGGGCTCGTTATGGGATATGTAGTGTTCAGTACTTTGCGGGACCCTAGGATGACAATTGCGTTAGGCAACCTACTTATAAATATCAATGGCTTGCTAAGGGGCTATAATCTGTTACTTAACTCCAGGGTCCATCAAAGTAGGCCGCGGAAAGCTTTACTGGCAGTACCCCAAAAAAAGGGGCTAGGGTATGGGGGGTCCAGGTACTACCAGCCAGTAAGTGTCTGGGTCACATCAGGCAACTCTGGTTCTACTGCACCCAGTCAGCCTTTCCTCAAACGGGTGTGATTTCTATGTTAGTGATTTTGGGGGGAGGGTGAAGCGGCTTGAGCTTCGGGTTGTTCAGGCTTCGGGGTTTGGGGTCCAAGATCCCAAAAAAGCAAGGTTGAAACTAAAATTAGCAGTTCCCAAAACCGGCTTGTAAGCCCAAATAACTAGCACGCCCGTACACTGAAACCCGGCAACCTAATAGCATAGCATTCCAAAGGGTGTTGCACCAAGGTCCGGTGCAAATCAAAGCATTGTGAACAAACTGGATTTCTGGAGTCCATTAACATAACGGCTCCATCCAGATCAGTGCTTCTGAAACCAATCTTAACGCACTCCTTGAGAAGTTTGAGAAGGACCCCAGCAATCCTTCAATTGCGTGGCATTTCCCCTAAATAAGGGAACCCCAAGTACCCCAGTATAGACCCCAAGATATTATAATCCTTATTATTATGGGACCCCCAAAACACTACCCAGAATTTCGGGGAAGCCTCAAATCTATATGCATATGTATATATGGCTCTCTCTCACCCTCAGAACCCCGTTCCATCTTACCTTACACCTTACTCCCCTTGGGTAGTTCCTTTTGATTAATTTTACACGAACCCCAAAAGACCAAGTCTTTTGCTACATTCTGAAAGCGGGATGGTAAACCCAAGCCAACGTCCATTTTAAAGGCCCTTGAGGAAAGTTTGCCCTAAAACAGAATTGAATTCTTACAAACCATTCAAGTGGGCATATTCCCTACAACCGCCTTGAACGGGATATAATCCCACCAAGCCCCCCTGAAGGGTCCCAACCTCTAACCCTAACAACCTACAGCTTAATAGGCGATACCGATTGCTTAGGGAGTAATTACTATTGACCTGTAGGCAATTGGGGTTACATAGTCCCTCTAACCCTCTGTGTATCCCCAGCTTCCATTTTGATTTTCCATGTTCTTTTCCATTTGAGCTATAGTCTAAACTCCTTAAAGGGGGGATATAGGGGACTATATAGGGGACTACTATAGGGGTTATTAAGGGGGATACTAGGAGTTTAGACTATGGCTCATTTGACTCTCCAGTATAGCCCGTCAACCAGTAGGTCATCGAGGTTACAGGGTTTAGGGTTTAGGGTTTAGGGAGGTATACCCAAAACCTGAGCCCGTAATAAAGCAGTACTTGCCGTTGTCTTTTCCATTATATTCTCTTCTCCATTATATATATACATACCCTAATACCCCCCCCTTAAAGGGGACCTATACTGGGGTTGATCCTCAACCCTACCCTAAACCCTAAACCCTAAACCCCTAACCCCAACCCTACGCAATCAGTTCTGAACTTGATCAAGCTTCCGAGCTTGGTAGGATGACATCGAGTCGCGGTCGGCCAGGCAGCGATTAACACGGTGTAGGGTCTAGGGTTTGGGGTTTAGGGTCTAGAGTTCAGTGCTTCAGGTTGAGGGTTTAGGGCTCAGAGTTTAGGGTTTGGGGGTTCGGGGTTGGCACTGAGGGCTCGAGGATGGCTTTAGGACCCAGAGGCTTCATGCTTCATTAGGGTTCAGGGCTTAGAGTCTGAGAGAAAATCATGTCACAGCACAATTGGTGGGTCCAGTTACCACTTGAGATGAGGCTTTGCAGCATGGTTGCTTTGAGCCTGAGTAACCCCCTGTCCTAACAACAACCCCCCACCCTCTAATAATAAACACCTGCAATATAGTGCCGTACGATATTTGCAGAAACATTCATTTTAGGGTTTTTCGTATGAGGGGAGAGGACTATCGAGGCTCGGAATCATGCGGGCCGAACCCCCGAATATCATAACCCCGAAGCCGGCCCAGATTTCCAAAGATTCGGGGCTCCTTGTTGGCAGTTCCTATAAGAAGGGCCATAGTATATCAGGGTACATGTTGAGGCCCCCTATTCATGGAGGCTACCAGATCTGCTTCTAAGCCTCAAAACCCTGCCTTAAACCCTAAACTGTCGGTCCGGCTCCTAGCGGACCCTCATGAAGCTACTCCCCAGATTGGTTAGGAGGACCCCCCACCCTGTAATACTGGTATAATAGGAATATGAGAGGACCCTAATAAAAATCCCTTTTATCCCCAAAAAGGATTTCTAGAGCCTAGAAGACGGCTTTTGGGGTTTAGGGTTTAGGGGTTTAGGGGTTGGGGGTTTAGGGTTTAGGGTTTAGGGGTTTAGGAGTTTAGGGGTTGGGGGTTAGGGGTTTAGGGTCTAGGGGTTTAGGGGGGTTGGGGGTTAGGGGTTTAGGGTTCAGGGCTTAGGGTTCAGAGTTTAGGCCTTAGAGTTTAGGGTTTAGGGCTCAGGGTTCAGGATCTCTAGAAGCATCATGTTGACAATGTGCTCTATTGGATGCCTTGTTGGTTGTGGGAAGCCCCTACATGAGTAGTATCTTATTTGGGGAT